GGACTTGGGACTCTTAATACTTCTACTAGATTAAATACATAATCAAATGGGAGCATTTCCAAAAACATTTTACAACATATGAAGAAAAAGTTTTGAATTTCAAAAATAAATCAAAGATGTTTTTACAAAAATATTATTTATGATATAGAAATACGCTATGATATTATAGATATTGGATGAATTTCAAAGATTACTATTAATTATAAATTCAGATAATCTCTTTGAGGAATATTCACCTTTTTTTTATTCCGATTACAAAGATAAATCCAAAAACATTCACATGAATCCGCAGGAAAAATAGATAGATTTCCTTAATAACTCTCGCTCTCCTTTAATAGAGTAAATATGCAATTCTATATTTTCTATTCTAAATTCAATTGTAGTGATTCTAAACGGCCCGATTTTTAAACCACTAACCAAATATTTTAGCCCAAAAATATTACGCAAGCCTGGATATTTTTCTCATAGATGGCAAAAATGTTTGGAGATCTATCAACGAAATTTCGAGACTTGAATAATATTTGGCTTAAATAATGTGTTAGCTGTTTTTAAAAAAGATCCTTTAACACTATTCAAATGAGCCATCGAAGAGAATATTCAGCCTAATGGCTACAGCTTGGCGAAGTTCAAATTATGATTAAACAAAATTATAATTATTCATGTAGAAAGTCAGCATCAGTGGCGTAGCTACGGCGGTGGTTTTCGGGTTTGGACCCCTCCCAGAGCAAAAATTTATTTTTAGATTATACGTTCAAAAGACTTATAAGTGGTGAGTTTATATCAAATAAATACCAATAATATTTATATTTTTCTGGTTTTGATGTTTGTGGAAGGATATTATATTACTATTGAAATTATTCTTTATAAAGTCATTGAGAATCTACAAAATTATAAAACAAATTATTGATGCATTTAAAAAATATATTTATTATATATTATCGAAGATATGGTTATGATTTGTAAGATAAACCCTGCCGGAGGCCCGTTAAAGGGGGTCTGGGGGGCGAAGTCCCCCTCAGGCTTTTATATGTATGGACTCCCTCTAAGGAAAATTCCTAGCTACGCCACTGATCAGCCTATAACAAGAAAGCCTATGAAAAATCTTTATTGCCCTAATTAAAATCATACATAAAATATATTAATTAACAATATGCTATATTTATAAACTTAGGAAAATAATACTTCATTCATAATAATTGTGAATAGTACAATCAATGACATAATGTCATTGAGTACAATTAAAAAATATTAAATTTAATATTGTCATAAAAAATTTTGTTGCATTAAATATAACATATTAAGTATGAAGAGTATGATATATCAATAAATGCGACCGAAGGCCTTGTAAAACCGGACCAAATGCCCTCAATTTTGGAGAAGTGGAGGGAGGGGGGTATGATGGTGAATCCCCCCCCCCACAAATTTTTATAAAAGAACAACTCACTTTTTCAAATGAAAAATATTTGGAAACCCTGATCACATCAACTTTGCTTTTATATATATATATAATTTAACATTTATGAATTTATAAAATAGATACATTAGCGCTTCAATTTTTAGATGATATTATGGCATGCGTCCTTAAATAATACATATTTTTTACTAAATGGCCCTTAAAATAGTTTTAAAAAGTATTTAAGAATGTTTAATTTTTGTTAATTTCTTAGACCTTTTTATATTGTAATCGTTTTATTTGAAAAAATCATCTATATCCATTTATCCGTTAAACAATTTTTGTATATTATGATAAAATAAATTTAGCAATTAAAACAAGATAGTTTACAATTGGAAATTAAAATTTCTTGCAAGCTAGTAAATATTTGGGCTCAATGTTGCAAAGCGATGGTATTAGCAAACTTGGGGAGATCTGGAAGAAAAATAAATGAAAAGAAACAAATGTTATAGGGGAGTTCATTGTGTCCAGAATTTTTCTAAGGATTTAAATTTTCCCCTTCCAGGAGAGCCTAAACTCACTCTTTTGACCGGAGTATATTTTTAAAATTATTTTGTTGGCTTTAGACTTCTATTATTAAAAAAATTTGAGTTTAATATATAAAAGGTTATTCTTAATTATTTTACTCATTTCTTTAGTGGGCTAGAAATGTTAAGGAAGAAAAGGGGGGGGGGGGGGGTTCTTTTTAAAAAAAATGAAATTTCAACTTTGCAAATTTTGAGGATTTCCCAGTCTCCATCCTTAGAATATACCAATGGTAATCTAGGTAAACGAATGCCTCTAATTGAAACCTATTGTAATAAGATAGTTACAAAGCAGAATTTTATATAATATGGTTAAGTATTTTGGATTACTATTAACCTTCAAAGGGGTGAGACTTGAATATATTTTTATTGGCACATTAAAACTGGAAGAATTTGTAATCATTATATTTTACAAAAAATTTATTTATATATTATTCGTATTTAAAACACACATTATTAGTATGACACTTTTTATTAAATATACCTATATTAAAATATAAAGGTGTTTTTTTTGTCATTGAAAAGAATAAAAATGGTATCAAATTATGATACCAATGAGGTTGAAGCGATGACAATTGAATAATTGTGAGTTTTTTTATAAAATATTCATTATCGTCAATTTGAAACTTTTAAGTTGCTTTTCAAAATATGTAATCGGTTATCAACTCCGTAAAATTGGCCAATCAATTATAAGCACTATCATGATCCACGTAGTGCTTTATTGGTCTTAGTACTACGGTCCGATTTTTAGCAAAAATAAATAACAAAATCCAAATTTTGGTTACTTCTACGATTGATAATTGACCAGAAACACAAATTCAGACTGCCTTTCTCAATATTTGGGAGATTCTATAAATGAAAAAGCCAAAAAACTGTCATATTAAATAAAACAAATATAGAAGCACTGAATAACTTGTCTTACGCTATATAACCTGATTAATATCAAACTTATGAATATTTTAATCAGTTTTGTCAATCAAAAAAATAAGAAATCTAGTTATAATATAAGGCTATTTAAAAAAAACTTATAACGACATATTTAGTGAAAACAGACCAGCTTTTGAAAAAACTAATTCTGAATGCTAAATTCAATTTTGTATAAATATACTATTAGATATAAAATTGTTTTAAATTTGATCTTTAAAATTTCTTTTTATGACAACAATGATATACGAAATAATGGGAAGAATACTAAATGAAGCAAGATTGAATTATACGTATATTTAAAATGATTAATTTCATGGATCCCAAAATCACTGTTCCCGTTCGGTAGGCGTTCCAAAATTTTTACTTCCACTACTGTTCAGTTCCATGTCCCTAATGGCGTGATATAAATAACTCCTTTGTGAGAATTACATTATACAACACAAATCTCTTAACATATAAAAGTGATAATAATATAAAAAGCTAACTTTCATAATATTTTACTCGGAGATATTAGTGCGCCATTTGTATCTCTACCTGTAACTTTGAAGGGCTGCGAACCCGAACCCCTGATACTTTACTAAATCTTAAATTTTTATAGAGTACCGGTTCAAAATTTTTCTTTTAAAAAAAAATTAAATTTTTATTCGTATTAAAAATAAAATTTAATTAATATTAAATATAAAAATCATCTATTTTTTATTTTTGAGTATGAAAATCATTTTTATTATATTTGTAGACCCCCTCCATTTTATGGTAAAATCACATATTTATTGTTGTTTGTTGAATTGTTAAAACTTAAAAGAAAGACAGACCAAAGAAAAGAACAAAATCAGAAAGAAAAATAGTTTTATTAAAATGCAAGTTGCTATGCATCGTCAAAGATGGGTATATATTAACATATATATTTTGGAAGGTATCCCGATTAGAGGTCTGCCATGTGTGGGTTATAACCGAAAAGCCCGCCTACTCGTTGTTTTGAATTTTTTAACCTACCCGCCTGCCTATTTAATATATTTTTGTTAAACCCACTTAACCACTTTTAAGTCTGTTCTGTTCATTTTGCCAAAATATTAAAAATTCACCCGCCAACGCCCGACCATTACTTAAAAAAAATTTTTTAACGCACCGTCACTATCCCCAATGTTGAAAATATTTTTAAAAAACTCGGCCACGCCCATTGGAAGTATGGGCGAGAAAACTCGCCCATTGAAGACCTCTACTTCCCATAATTTGCTTATAAATTTAAATAAAACTGATGTTTCTGTTCTGGAGGGCGAACCTCTGCAGAGTTATTTCACAGAATCAGAATCCTTTTTCTTAGAAGGAGGGTTAACAGCCATGATCTAAACCCTATCCCATGTAAAAATTCAAAATTTTCAATCCAGGCCTGGCCCCAATTCCACGGAAAACTTTAAACCCGAATTAATACTTGACACATAATTTTCCTTTCAGACCAAGCTCGTGCATATCTCCGAAAATTTGTTTTTATACCCAGGTCCTAGCTGAATGAAAATGGTTTCTGGCCCAATTTGCGTGTAAATCAATGATCGCAAAGGTTGCTAACTTATGTAATGCCTTCGATAAATATCAAAATTCGAACCTAATTTTATTGGCCTGAAAGAAAGAAAGACAAATAAATTTTAGGAAACTCATTGTAAACCAATAACATAAAATAATACATAGACTGAAATGCATTCATTAAAAGTGTACACCAATGAAAACAGCTGAGGACGCCATTTTGATTATCCATATCATTATCAAATATTTTATTAAAGATTGCCTAATCATCGAGATAATAAGGAAGCAAGTTATAAATTTAATAGTAGATTTTAACATGAGAATAATTATTATATGGGTTACCAAAATGGCGGCTCTAGCTGATTTGCATTCAACGACGCTTTCAAATGCATCAATACGAATGCATCATCAGTTTCTAAAACATAAATTTTCATTTAATCGATGGATGGAGTTTCAAATAAAAAGTATTTTATTTTATTTTTTAAAAAAATAATAAATTTTCTATGCATAATATTTCCAAAAAAAAATAATAAAAATAATATAATTATTATAAATGCATTCATTTGTTCGAGCTTAGCAACTTATTACAAATCACAAAGTTTTTAAAAAAAAAACTAAAAAAAATGGCCTAAAATATACTTTTTTTTTTAAAAAAAAAATAATAAATTTTTTTTGTAAGATTTATCAATAAAATATAAAAAAAATTAATATATATATAAATATTTTATAAAGTATTTTGTAATGGCACATGATTATTTACAAATAAATAGAAGGAGGGAGGTGGAGTGGGGGGGGGGGGTGAGTGAGGATATTTTATCAGAGATTTTTATTTATTTAAAAAGGTGGCAGGTGAGTTACGAATGAATAAATAGGGAAACCCCGTTTAATAAATTTTGAGATTTTCCAAATTGGATCGACCATTCTTGTAGTTGTTCGAAGAAGGGTAAGGTACATTAATTTTCTCCACGTACCCTCCCCATTTGAGTCGGTATGTGTTATTTTTCCACTTGAGAACCGAAGTATTTAGTGCCACGAGGAAAAGTGGTAGCGCCGATAATTCCCTATAACACCAGGCCAATAGAAATTGAGTTCGGCTAAATGGTAACTTACCGTTCTTTAAATAATAATATAATTATATTTAAAAAAAAAATCCGATTTTTATCCTTATAAATTTTTTGTTCTCGTTTTTTTTTTTACAGTTCTACGAATAATCATTAGATTGCCCGCGACTTTATGCTAACGCCGCAAAAAGTAAAAATAGCTTTTAAAAACTTAAATCTATAGCATTGAATTTACAATGATAACCCTTGTAAATATATTTATGTAATGTCAAACTTGGACGATCCTGAGCAAGGCGTAATCGAGCAAGAACCAAACAAGGCAATGAATCGCGAAGAACACCAAACTGTTCCATTCGAATAGATAAAAAACGGCCCAGCTATTCAACAATCCCAGTACCAAGCACTCACTCAGGGGTTCGAATAATATGGTAACAGGAACCATCGTGAACCTTAACTTGCTCCATCTATAAATATATGATGTATGAATTATAGTGTTTTTTATATTTTTTTAATGTAACTAGTTCCAGGATTGGTTAAGCTGTCAATTTTTAAATGATTAACAACTTTATACAGTCTCGTTAGAGTTACTAAAAAAATCTTGGACACCAATGAAAATTCATGGTAACTCTACATGTTTATGGATTTCTTACACAATAGCTCGGACTATTCTATATATAACGCATATATGCGTGCTGCACAAGTAAAGTACAATTCTTTGTCCCATCCTGTCCTCGTCACATTATTTTTTTTCCTATATTAAGACATATCGCAATATTTTCGGGTATATACGAACCTAACGAGCCTTTCCTGAAATGCCCTGACAGAAGTAGGAGTGGCATTTTGTAGAGCCGGACCAGGACTGATACGGTGCTTGTACCCCGCTGACCGGACGGCCCGGGCCATAAAATAATCCTCCGCGAGATACTTACCAAACGAGGCCAGACCGGCGGACGATAGTATACGTTTCCTGTAGAGGCTGGACATGCCCGTGCAGCAATTGATGCCGAGGAAATCGGAAGCTAAGTAAATACGGGCATGGGCAGTTCCGAAGTAGACCTTTAAAAAAAAATTAAGGTAAAGCAATCGTATAGGGAGATTATCTTTTATGGCAACGTCTAAAAAAATATATATATTTTACTATGAATTCATGAGAAAATAGATATAAAGCACTTGAATATTATTTATATAGGGTTAAAGAAAGAAAAAATGGGGGCAGGGTGGGTCAGATGAGCTATAGGCTCAGCTAATTTTTTCGCCTTGTAGGTTCGGGAAGAGATTTTTATATGGCAAGGAGGTCCATTTAATTATCGATAAAGGAATTAAAAGTAGAACCTTATAAAATAACTAGTAGATAGCCCGTCAAAAATGACGGGGAATGAAAATTTTCTTCTTACTTTTATGCTAGATGTTACCTGTTATTTAAAAATAATATCCAATTTTTAATCTTTTTACCCCCTCCCCCTTCAGGCCAGGTTCAATCCATTAAAACTAAGTGCTATGGTTTGAGTAAAAATAAATTTAAAGCATTTACTTGATAATACCAATATTGTTTGTTAATATTACTGATTACTTTATACCTAATATTTAATATTAAAAAAAATTCCCAGGCAAAGTCCAAAGCCATATTAATTATGAGAAATTCTTCCAAGTCCAATGAAAGATCATAATAATTTTGGTAGTTGAGAACTGAAATAAAATATTTTAATAATCATAATGAATTTAAGAATATAATCATAATTCAGATTTTCATGGGCCTTGGTTTTTTGGTTAGGTCAAGCCCAGGCCTGCAAAAAAAATTGTTTTGGGCCAATGTCTGACCTATAATTAATAATAAAAAAATTCTCAAGCGTCCAAGCTCATAATAATTTTGCAAAATTTTTCTCAAGCCCAGCCCAATATAATTTATAAATATATTTTCCAAGTCCAGCCCAACCCATAATAATTTTATAAAAAAATTTCTCAAACCTGGTCAACCGATAGTAATTTTCAAAAAATTTTTACACCCTGGAGATAGGTAAATCTCTAAAAACCATATATATCTTTTATTCTATTTTAACCCAGCTCACTTCAACCAAGCAAGGCCAACCCATTAAGACTAAGAGTGAATACTATTTTTTTGAATAAAAATATATTTAAATTAGATTTTACCTGTGGGCCATATAAATATTCTGTGTTAAATTTTACACCTATGTCTAATATTAAAAAAAATTACCAAGCCAGGTTCTCGCACTTAGTTTTCTCAAACCCGCAAAAGGCCATAATATCTTTCATAGTTGAGGACTGAAATAAAATATATAAAGTCACAATGCATTTAAAAATACAATCAGAATATGAAAGTTACATGGGCCTTGGTTTTAGATCAGGCCTTGCCATGTCTTTAAAAGAAATTTTCAGGCTAATTTCTAGCCCATATTTAAAATTAAAAAATTTTCAGGAATCTTAGACTATAATAATTATGAAAAATGTTTCTCAAGCTATGTCCAAGTCCATATTAATGGTGAAAAATATTTCCCAAGCCCAGGAAAACTCAAATAATTTATTTGATCCAGAAAAATAGGTCTGATGTAAGGGGTTTATAAGAATTAAATCTGTCTAATTTCAAAATTATCATCAAATGAAGGGTAAATATCTGATTTTCCTATTACCTCTTTTACTCTTAAATTTTAATATTTATATAAAATTTATTAATAAAGTATATTTAATACCATACACGCAAACTAAATAATTACCCTTCAACCCATGGTTTTTTGATTAGGCCTGGCTATGTCTGCAAGAAAGTTTCAGGCCAATCTATAACCCATATTTAATATTCAAAAATCTTAAGGCGCCTCTATTTTAAATTTTATCCAACATGATTTCCATCACATTTTTAAATTTTGAAATTTCTAATACATGCTCACAATATACAGCATTAATTTTACCTTTACTCATTTTAATATTTATAATTTATTAATAAAGTATATTTAATACCATACACACAAACTAAATAATTACCCTTCAACCTTATCAGCTAGTATGATAATAATAATAAAGGGTAGAATTTTAAAAATAATAGATATTAATTAATATCTATATAATTAATATTTTAAATTTATTTATATTCAAGCTGGTTCATGCGGTAAAGCATGTGCCTTTGAAACGGGAGGCATGTGTTCGATTCTCGTAGTGTAGAGAGCAAAAAATTAACATTATACTATATAGTCTCCTTAAATTTAAAATACATTAGGGAGATACGAAAACGATCTTGTTTTGATTATGGAGATAAAATTAACATTCTCCTTAAATTTAATATACATTAGGGAGATACGAAAGCGATCGTATTATGATTATGGAGATTATATATATATTAAATAATTAAAAATGTTCTTTAAGCTATTATAAAATAAGGCACTAATTATTTTAAAAGTAATTTCAACTTATACAACCTACGTTATAAATAATTCATTAAATATATTATTAAAATAGAATCTTTTTGTAAAAACATAATTAATAATAGGTTATAAAATTAATAAAATAATATATATTATATAATATTTTAGTCAAAACGAAAATATCTTTTAATAACAGATCAATGATTATGAGAATATAAAATAGTATTTTAAAGCCAAAATTGGAAAAAAATTGAATATAAACAATTTTTTTTATATACAATGTAAGAAAAAAATAATAATTAAAGTAATTGCTTTAATTATTAATTAGAAAAACGAATTTTGGCATTTGAAATAAAAAAAAACACTATATTTAATGAGTACTATTCGGAATGAATTCATATAATTTTAACCTTTTCGAGAACGGCGGGAAAAGAGTAACCGCGATTGGGAGCGGTGAACGGCATTTGATGTACCAGCCCCACGCCACGCGTCATCGAATATACCATTTCTGTCAACGAGTTCTCCGGCACTTCAATGCAATGAACCAAAAAAATATATACTAGTATTTAATTTATAATCAAATATCCAAGGGTGGGGTTAAGTGTTGTCGATGACCTCCATTTAAGCGTATTTTTTTTTAACCTAAGGTTTCGAGGCTTCGTTTATAGATGGCAGAAACGTTTGGTCCTTCCAAATTATAGAGGCTTGGGTATATTTTTTTAGCCGAAATCGAAATTTTTGATAATACTTGGTAGGAGGTGGGGGGGGGGGTTGAATTGTACAACAAATTATCAAGAAATTCAACAAGGTTAAAATTACGTCCTCCCAAGTAAGCCATTATATGATTGGGCAATTCTTTAGCGCTAAAACTTTTTGAGAGAAAATGAGTTATTTGTTTAAGAAAGCAAGTAGGGTTGGGGTGGGGGGAGAAGAATAAACTGCGCAATTATTTTGCTTTGCCAATTTGTTATACTTCCATATACTTGCTTTTTTTCCCTCACTTTTAAGAGTTTATACGTCAAATTGTTAGGACATAGACTAAGTTACGTTCAAATTCAATGATGTATATTGCAACAAATATTTATAATTAAAAATGTGTCATTTTTATTATTAAAATCTTTTTTTTTAAAAAAAAATAATCAAAATATAAAAATAAATCACGTATTGCATGGATTTTTTTTAATATTTCACGATCTAAAATAAAATTACGTTTCGGCTAAAAAGCAATTTCCTTTTTTAACCGACAACAATTTTCTCAATCTTGCGAAAAATAAGGTTAAATTTTCTCATTTATAAACAAAATTTATAGAAATCGAATTTTGTAAAAAATAAAATCATTCCTCATTTTATTATTTATAATTATTAGCGGTTGAGACCAAAATATTTGAGCAAAGTCTAATTTGTTTAAACCCGGTTCTAGCTTTTTCCTATTTTAATGATTTGAAAGAATCAGAGTTGTTAAAGGATCTAGATATAAAAATGAGGTATCTGTATCTAGATAGATTTTTGATTAAATAATCTGTATCTAGATATTATTTTAGACGTTGTATCTGTATCTAGATCCATTTAAAAAGTATCTTTTAACAACTCTGGAAAGAATCCAATTCGTGTACTGGTTTTGGATATTCCAAGATCCGAACCGTTTCCTAGCCGGTTTTAAAAAATATAATAATTTATCAAAGTATTTTATTAACGAAAAAAATATCTATTCCTTTGTTTACAATGTAATTGCGAGATCAATAAAATTAAAGTACAATTAAAAAAGGCAAAAAAAATCATCTCCAGATGAATGAGCTATCGAAAACTTCGATTAAATTTATATTTCTTTTGTTCAATTGGCGAATTTATACTGTGACCAAATTTTTGAATATATTTTTATTGAAATTAAAATTCGCATATTGGGGGTATAAAGTTAGTTAATAAATAATTTTTTCTTAATATCCGAAATTGATACTGGTGAAGTATGTATTCAAACATAATACCTGGTCGAATATGAATAATCGTTCGTATCAAGTTCGGATAACGGTTTCGAGAAATCTTATAATTTATAACATTATTTTACGGCGTAACGTGCTCGATTTCGCCGATTTTTTTGAAAAAGGCTAATTCAAAATTTTAGCCTTAGATAATATATAGTGCCAAAGCACGTAATTTAGCCAATAGATGTCCAGACACCTCTGCCATGTATGGACAAGATCTCTAGGCTTGAGTAATATTTTGTGACAACACTAATTTCTTGGGTCTCTTCCTAACATTCAAAAATTCCCTGACTTTCTTGAGGAGTATATATATAATTTTTTTAATAAAAAAAGGAAAGTGTTTTTACTCATAATTCCCGCATCCGACACTAGAATGAGTTCGTACTTGGCAGCGTCGAAGGCCGGGATCATGTTGTTTATCTTGGAATTCACTACGATCTCGGGACTCCCTAATTCATTCATTCACATAATAAAAATATTGATATAATTAATAAATGATATAACTCCTCTTCTGCCGAGTTGCCCACCGTCAAATTGATCCGCCATAGATTTTCAAAAAAAAAAGAATTAAAGAAATCGGGATTTGTATCGCCATCTTGATATAAAACTAATTATTTGGGGATCTTGAATAATTTTATAGCCGCTAGTTGGGATAGGTAAATTATGATATTCCACGTCTCCCACTAACGATTATTTTTTTATTGAAAAAAAAATTATTCGCGATCCCTTTGGGTCACGATTTGCAACGCTCTCTAACAATTTTCATTTTAAAAATTACATTCAAAAGCGTCGTAATTTTTTTTAAAGAGTAAATAAGAGGCGGTGAGTTGTAGGGCATAGCCAAAATTCCAAGATTCAAAAATTCTTCATTTTTAAGGGAATTATTTTCCTATTTTTTTTAAAATAAATAAATAAAATAAAATGGGTTTTCGATTTTATATATTTTATTTAAAAAAAAAATTAAATAAAAATTTATATAAATTTTTCAAAAACTTTAAAAAAAAAATTATTTTAAAAAAAACTAAAATACTTATTTTTTTAAAAAAATATTTTATTTTTAAAAAACTATTTTTATTTTAAAAAAAATGAAAATAGTATTTTTTATAATTTTATGATTTTTTTATTATCTTGATTGTCAGCCAAGCGTAGCGAGGTGATTTTTAATTTTATTAGTTATTACATCGTCAAAAACATTCAAAATTAATCGATTTTTAATTGAATAAGTGATAAGAACACCGGAACTAATTACTGATAATGGACTTTTGTCGAGCAGATTTGATGGAAAACATTTCCATATTTTTTAAAAAAATTTATTTGAAAATAAAATTATTTTGATTTTGCAAAAAAAAAATTGCAATTATTCTTATCAATTTTTTTTACAAAGTTAAAATTATTATCATTTTATATGAATGGGTTTGAATTTAATCGTCAATATGTTTCATTAAATCATAACAACACTGTATTTAAATGATTATTTTTTTAAAAAAAATATATATCCAGACAAACAACATTGAAGGAAGTTTACCATAAAAAAAATGTAAAGATAATTTTTTTCTGTTGTTGTATGAAATTCCACTTAGGGTAAAACACTGGGGATTTAAATCTCTCCGTCTTTTTTTTTCATAAAAAAAAAATAGAGGATCGGTTTTGGGCAAGAAAATTACTATTTTAGCGGACCACGCCAAGATAATTATAGAAACAGGCCGAAAAACTTTTTTTTTAAACTTGTTTTAAACACTGCCACCCCCCCCCCTCCCTTCCCTTATCTTAAGAAACAAAGTAAGAAAGAAATAAAGAAAGAAGGAAGGAAAGATTTTATATATTTATACTATACAACCTAGGAATAGGGAGACGTCGACATGAGGGAATTTCATCATTAATCCTTTCACTATGTTGATGCAGGGGTCTTCGTAATCTTGAACGCAAAAGCTGATTTCAAACTTTAAAAAAATAAAATACATAATAACAATTTAAGTTGGTATCTTTATTTTTTTTAAAAAACAGATTCTTAAAACGCGTATGAAATTGACCGCTAAAGAGCGATTTAAGAGCGGAGGATGATCATGTTAAAAGATGTAAGTATATGAACAGGGCCTATAACTAGAAATGTTGGCTTGGAAGCACTAGAAGGAAAGCCATTGTCTTTTCTCATTCGCTAATAAATGCTAAGATTAGTCATTTTTTAAATGGAATTCTTGAAATGATTAGGTTTTTTTTAGAATATGAATTAGGGGTAATTATTTATGTAACGCATTTTTTATCGTAGTAAAAATATAATTAATGAATATTCGAATAGTTCAAATTATAAAGCATAATTTGTAAAATATATCTATACTTTTTAAAATAAGAGATCACTTAAATGTTCCCTTCCACATAAAAGAAAAATTTGATGAGTTTATTGGTGGTGGTGGGGGGGGGGGCTCTCAAATGCATCCATCCCTCCATAGTTAAGGCGTTCGGTAAATAATAAATGTATACAAGAACGATCTTAAGGATCTTTGCTACGTCTATATGCTTTATCGGGGACCTGCAAAGAAATCTAAGGTCTATTACGGGTTATAAAATTTGGTTAATTTAATTTCCCGAGTGCCGGCCCAGGTTACAAAAAATTATCCTCCCCCCCCCCATACCTTAAATTAGTTGAAGATGGAGAATATCCAAAAATAAATATCGCGAATCTATATATAACCGGACATTATTTGGCCATCTACTACTAAAGCTACAATTTTTTTTTATAAACGGATGTAGACATGGTATCGAGAGGTTATTAAAACCGTATTAATACCATCCCATGAAAGGCGGTATCCCCAAATAGTTCTTAAGCATGCGTTTGAAAGCTTAACGTTGTAAGGTAACAGCCCAGTCAAGTTTAGGTCTGTTCTCAAAAATATTCAATCAAAGGTAGGGAGTATTCCAACTGAAGGAAATTTTTTAATCGGGTGAAAGATATGAGTTAGGGGTAATAAATAATCTTCGAGATATAGATTTAAGGTGAATTAAAAATGAATTTTGAATAAAATTTAATCCCTTTCTATTTAATAACTGTGATTATAAATAGACCAACAGAAATTTGAATAAATCAGCTGTTATAAAAGCAATTTCCTTGAGTTAGACCATAATCCAGGTAAGGGGATGATTGACGAATAAAGTTGAGAAATGGATTCGTAAAAAAATATAAATATTAAATAAAAATAAGAATTTTATTTTTATTAATCAATAACTTATTTAACAAATTTCTAAAGAAATGACAATAAAAATTTTTTTGGCAAACCTATGTCAATTAAAATCAAATTATTTACCTTTTTAAAATCGATTAATTAAAAAAAAATCAGCTAAATTTTAGTCTCTGCGAAGAAAATAGACATTAAATTATTATTATTATTTTTTTGAAGGTCAAAAAGAAAGGGGGGAGTGGGGGGGGGTGAGAGGAAAAGGAATTTAAACTAGACTTTGAAATATTGTAAAATGAAATAAAAAATGAGACAATTTAGGTGGGGGGGGGGAATCGAGATTTCAAAAGGATGACCACAGGATACGTCTTTAAAATCCTACTCGCCGACCTGGATAAATAAATCACATATTAAAGATGGATTTATTTATATAAGAAAAAAAATGGAAGAATATTAATAGAAATTGGTTTAGGCAATAAACATCTTATTTATAATCATAAAAGAAAGAAAAAAAGTTAGCAGTCGAACAACCCTTTATACTGCCAATTAATCAATTTATTCACGTCAGTTAGTGAAGAAGAATTTGGCAATCACTATAATAATTCAGATCTAGATCTTTTATACAGACTTGGCGATCGGTAATTTTTTTCCGGCGAACAGATCCCTGATCAAAATTTCCTCCCTGGATGTCAAATCCTATTCCTAATCGAATGGAGGCACCATTAAAAAAATACATCTCCGCCGAAACCTCTATTATTAGAGAACCCAGCTGAATGTATTATATTTAAAATTATTAGTTTTAAAAATAAATAAATTTGCGTGATTCTATATATAAAAGAAATGTTTTGTTGATTTAGATGTGGGAAAGGGTGAGGGGTAAATGAATAAATCAAAAAAAATTTAAAGGTTAAAAAATATACCAACCATTTTTGCGAAAACTATATAAAAAAGATTAATTAAGTAAATTTAGATATGTCAGTCTGGGGTTTTTATAAAAATAGTTTCCTGATTTTCAGTTTAAGCCAAAATAAATAAGCGCCAAATATGGATTCGGTCAACGTATAGAAATTTTACTAACTATGGAGATTTTCTTTTTAAAAAACTGTCCCGAGTTGGAATCAAAACCGGCGTGGTGCCATCACTCAGTCGAGATATATAACATCTGAGGCCATTCCAAAAAAAAAATGGCTCGAATAACTTTCCGCTGTTCATACTTATTTGAGATTTAAGCAATTAAATGTTGTGTGTACGAAAGATCACGCATGCATAAATGGCGGCGTGACGGGACAGGTGCCGAACAACTTTTGATAGTTTTCTTCATTTTCAAATTTTTAATTACGCACAGGGCCGGATAACTTGTATAAAATTATCTTACTGTCCGAGTCAAAAAAAACGTTTTCAAAAATATTCACGTGTCAGTTCGGAATGATCTTTATCCCCACCCCCCTTTCCACATTAGCATTTCGAGTAACCTTCTAACTTCATTTCCCCCCACAACTCGAGGGTTTACAGAAAATATAATTTAAATGGCCTTAATTTTGACGATTTCCTAAAACATTAAAAAATGTTCATTTTATATGTTTTTGTTTCTTCAAATTTTTTACAAAAAAGGAAATTTTTGTTTTTTTTAAAAAAATTCCATGTCTCGATTAAAATTGACACATTATACTTTTCAAAAATAAATGGCGTCGATAAAAAAATTCACGCCCCCCCCCTCACACTCTCTCCTTAACGATAATTTTCGATTTAAAAATAAATATAGTAGTTTAAAAAATACATCTGTTATTAAAACTTTTATTAAAAATCAAAAAACAAAAAGTAACCCTCTTCTCTTGTTTTTTTTATAAGTTGAATGAAAATCGTAAAAAAATATAATTTTATCTAGTACATTCGCTCACTTTAGGCAGGTCTATGACCAACGTGCTAGATAAAAAAAGTTACAAAGTTTGCAAGTAGTTGTTTGTGAAACGGCCAATCCAATATCTTAGCCAAAAAAAAAATTACGCGGGCTTCGAGATTTCGTTAATAGAGCAAAATCTCCGGGCCTGCCTAATATTTTTGGCTAAAATATCGTGTTAGCCGTTTTTAAAAATAGAGCGAGCCGCTTAACAACACTGGTTGTCAGGTCTCCCGCCACCAGCAGGAGGCTCCGGCAATTTATTAATCAATATGCTAAACCCCGGCAATGGGAAATCTTCCATATTTAACTTTTCAATAAAGTTTTTTTTAAAAAAATGTCGAAAAACAATTAGAAAATAAAGATAAGAACTTGTATTTTTTTTGTATGAAATAATAAATTATATTTTTATAATAATTTTGAATAAGGTAACTCCACTAGGAAGGATTTAGAAAATCGAAACTTTAAAATATCTGTTTGGAAGAATATTTTTAAAAAAAACTATACTGATACTTAACTTTGTAAAAATATTTTTTTTTGCGCGCGCGATTTTAAAAATTTAAATATACTCTGTAATTTTTAGGAAATTTCAGTTTTTCCATTTTTGTTATATATCATAATTGGCTCAAAAGTTAATGGTTAGATTGGCCAAAATTCATAGACTAATTGTTTTAAACATGCCGGAATATATTGCCGGTTAAAATTAGATCTTTAAATTTTTTTTTTTTGAAAAATGGGGCTGAGAAAATTATTTTATAGGTGAAAAGATAATAGCACTGATGGTAGTGTTGTTTAAACTGCTCGTTTTGAGCCGATTTTTAAAAACGGCTAACTCAGTTTTTGTCCAGAAAAATATTACGCAAGCCTGAAAATTTTGCCCATAGAAGGAGCAAAGGTCTAGACATACAGTATTGAAATTTCGAGGCTTAGTCAATATTGAGTAAGCCGTTTTGAAAAATCAGCACAAAACGAGCCGTTTAACAACATTCAATGATGGGGAAAAATACAACATACATAAAACATAAAAGAGTGTATATTATACTAACCCCGGAATGCTTAAGTGGGTACGGAGTTTTTTAAGCTAATACTTAGCTTTAAATAAAAATTTATGAACTTATTGAATGCCTTTATTTCTAAATAATTCAATAAAATCGTTAGCAACCCAGACCCAGGGCACACATTTGATTTTAAAAAAAAAGAAGATTTTGGGTATAGCCATGCATAAATCATGAAGAATTTCTGTTTAAAAAAAAGAACTGTAATTTTAAAGTCAAACAAATATATCATGATATAATAGTCAACAGAACATTCACATATTAAATAAACCAAATTATAGGCTTATAGTTGGATGTAACATTTAAAAGTAAAACGCTATGAGCTGATTACACCAATTCATTGTCATGTCGATGTGAGGATTAAATGACTTCTCTTAATCATATAACCGAAACTATAATAGTAGAATTTTATCAGGCGAAAACAGATAAAAGTATAATGACTTCAAATATGATATTACTTCTGGTAAAGGATTATAAACGGATAGATAGGACAGTGAGTGGTTTTTTATGATAGGATTTTATCAGAAGAAACAAGGCAAGACTATACTAAGACTTCGAGGATGATATTACTTCAGGTCAAGGATCATAATCGGTATAGGGTAGAATTAGTGTAAATGATTATATACAGACAGCGCCAAACGAGGCATTTAAGAAGTATACTGACTATAAGGATGATGTTACTTATTGGTAAAGGATTCTAAACGGATAAGGCAAGACGTAGTTTTTATAGTAAGATGTTATCGGGGGAAAAACAGCTTTCTCGATATATGTTTGTTTTTTTTAAGTCAAGTCTTTAAAGATTTGCGGATTATTAAAAATATCACAAAAATGATTTTCGAATTTACAATATGCGTACAAGCTCAAATAAAACCTACACAAAAAATTGGCCGACTTAAGAAATAATTACAAAAAAAAGGCACGTTCTAATTGGCTAAAAAATAAAATACAATAAATAAGTCTGATTAGGCCAAAATTAGATAAAAAGTTGGATAAATTGTATACTTAATATAATGACATAATATAATACCTGGACTGAGATGCATTCATTAAAAGTGTACATCAATGAAAACAGCTGAGGACGCCATTATTGATTGCCCATATCATTATTTAAACTTTTAAAAGAGAGGTCAATTTATTCTTAATTAAAGAATATTGCCTGATTATCAAGATAATAAGAAGTTATCAATTTAATAGTAATTTTTAACATGAGAATAATTACTATATGGGTTATCAAAATGGCGGGTCCAGCTGATTTGCATTCGATGAAGCTTTCAATATGAATGCATCGTCAGTCTAGAAAGATTTTAGAATAATTCAATTATAGATTCGATAATGATTTTTAAACACGCATATTCTTAGAGGCGCGTATGTCGCGATTAGGGAATTCGATTTTGATATGATAGACATAGGATTTACGAATGTTGTCAAGTATTTCATCTTTTTATTAGGGGTTTGGGTAGTGCGAATATTTGGTGGCCTGCCAAAAATATGGTTGTTTATTTCATTTTATTTTATATTTTTTTTTTGGGGGGGGGCTTCCTAAATGAAAAAAAAATAGGTAAATAATTTACTTTAGGATAATGGAGCAAGAAAAAGGTTCGTAGGTTTAGTTCCAGGTTGGGATCAAAGCCGAGCAAAGGTTTTATGATGGTGACTCCGGGCACGTGAGATTCTATAAGTCCGTCACCTAACGTAGTCATGTCTATCGTTATCATTCCTTCGTTCGAGGTAAGCACGGGACTGGTCGGATTGGCGTGAGTATTGAATGGTGATACTGATGAGACGGTTTTATGGATTTGTTGGCTATCGTGAATAATTCGAATAATTTATTAGACTCACAAAAACGAATATTCTTCCAAATAAGATCAAATACTAAAATATTCGGTTAATGATTTCATAAGACCTAGATCCGATTCACGATAATCGTTTATTTGTGCATATTTACAATTATATCTATAAAGTAATTGCCTATTTACCTTGTGTCATTTAACTTTGTTTCTGGAGGCACTTCCGGTTGGGTTAGCTCCGCTATGCCCCCCGACAGTGAGCGGTAATGATAAGAATAAGATGATGCCGTGTTGGAATCGGAATAAGACGAGTGAACATTGTTGATTCGCGTTTTCGTGATCAGGCTTAGCGAATTTTTCTGATGATTGCACCCGGTCGATAAACTGCGCAAGTGCTATAATTATATATAATTGGCGTGCCGGTTAATCGAATACACGTGGGCAATAAAAGAAGGGGGAAAAATTAATTGGAAATTGTATCAATTTTTTTTAAATTATCGGATAGGCTTGATTTGCTTTATTTAAATATCCGTATCAGACAGTATTTATTAATGGACCAATCAGATCTATCAAAATGGGGGCCATTTATTTATGAATGATGGCTAAAATGGTATTTAATGGGCATTTTACAAATTTACTCACTATACAGTAGATTGAGAAATATTGGAAACATAAATATTAATAGTTTATGAACCGGGTCAAGTTTACGAACCAGAACTGGTTGAAGTTTAAAAACAGAGTCAAGTTTAAGAACTGGAACTAAAGAACCCTCCCAAAATATAAAGGAACCGGAAATACTTTTCAAATTTGTAAAAATTTGAACCACCACTAGAAAAATACTAAGAACCGCAATTCTTAAGGTTCCAGCCAATGAAAAACAAGTAAATGTGGTATAATATCCAAGAAATCTTGAATAAAAAAAAACCTTAGATTTGTGATGAAGACCGGATATCATCTGATTGTTATCATCGATAGTGTTTCCGGGAATATTCACAAGAATTTGCTTCCAATCATCCTCTTCCTCGCTCGCCATGGGTTGGAGTAAGGAGCAGGCATTTTTCCGTTTATTCGCCGCTAGATCGATATCGTTTACTGCTGCTTTCTTCTCATTGCTAAGTTTTTCGTCGATCCGAATAGCGTCCGAGCAAGTTGTCTTGACTTGATTATCGCTATCGTTTAGGGTCTGGTAATTATTGGAAGCGTGGCATAGGGAAGCGTGTAAACTCTTGGTCGGTCTATTCAATCGCCATTTACTAAACATGGATTTTTTTTAAAAAAAAAATAATATTTGTTTAACTTTTAAACGGGGTAGGCGGGAGAAAAAAAATTCATCGTTCTGTTACACCCAGTACCAACAATTTTAACATTTTTTAAAAAGCTGACATGACCCTATTTTACCTCATACCTCGAGGGTTAAAAAGATTTTGGCCTAAAATTTAAAAAAAAGTAATAGTAGAATATAGTCTCAGCGCACATTATATCCAGTCGTAAGACCATATAAATGTTTTGTAGATAAATCCATTTCTTCGAATTATAATTTTACAAAATGAGTTAAAAAAATGGTCGTTCAATTTTTAATTTAGGAATCGAACGGTCAAGAGGCCATTTTTCAAAAGTTCATCGTAATTTTTTTATTAATTAACTTGGCAAGGTTTATTTCGTCGCCATTGCTCTAATCTCACAGACTAACTAAATTAGCGAAATTTCTTTATTCGCAAAATAAAAAAAAATCGATAAAATATTACTTAAAATTTATTTAATGGGCAAAAATAATAAATTCCAGCAAAATTTTTAATTTATTGATCGTTGATCGAGAGATTACTGTTTGTTTATGGTTTAAAAAAAATAAACAAAGTTCTAATATTTTAAGGCTTTATATATTATATTATATGTATTTGCTATCTAAAAACAACTGACCAATAAGATGATTGGGATGGAGCGAAATCGTTTTCAGTACGCCCAAAAATTTTAGCCAAGCTTCGGGAAAGGAGGGGGAACGTTCGGACCAGTGGGTTCATTTATTGATATAATCATTTTTTTACATAATTCATCCATAATTAAGATTAAGGTATCGTTTAGAATGCGCCAAAAGTTGGGAAATTTATTCGCGAAGCCATATGTGATATATTTAATTTAAATATTAATCGCGTGGCTTAGTATACGCAACGAAAAAATTCGCATCGTTTAAGCGAATCATGACTGTAAACGAAGCCTAAGACCATCACCGCTAAAAGCGTTTTAACACATCATATGTTAAAAGACAGCGCAAAATATCATTTCCACACAAATCATTAAAATAAAAAATTATTTTAATTACAATTTCCTCCATTGAAAAAAAAATCCCTAATTTATTCCCCAAATTTTAATAATTAATCTCGCCACTCAATATCTAAAAATTTTACTCAGATTTTGAATTTTTTTTCATTCACGATATAATGAGGTCACTAGAGAGTGTCAGTTAAACTTCTTCCCAATAACGATGTGAAAAGTGGAGGCCGAATTATGGTTAACTGTAAAACTATAATCTAACCGTCAACAATTTTATAAATATTCCTTTTTTTCTCTCTTTATTTTTTTCCTTATATCTAATCACGGAAATATGATTAATTATAATTATTATTATACAACAATTTGTTAATTATTATTTTTTATTGTGTTGTAACCGAGGAAGTAAAATTCTTGGTTCGTCACTGCCAAGTCAACACATAGCAATTTTCAATCTTAGCCCAGAATCACCTAGTTGGCTTCGGAAGAAGAAAAAAAACCCCAGATCCTTTTGCTGGATTCGAACCCAGATCTATCGTATTAGTGATCTACGCACTTACCAACAAGGCTTCAGACGCTCTTCGAAAACGCCCAATTTTTAAAATATTTATTACAAAGACCCGCAAGCGCGGTCCAAAGACCGAAGTGCGATAATTGATAAAACAAAACGTTAATATACTTTTTATTTTTACGATACCGCAACACAAATAATACTTTTTACATCATGTAATTTGTTTTAGTTTTGCCTATATCAAAATTTTTGACTTGGTCAGAACTCGAAACGCGCTGGACGAAGTGGAAAAGCGGGCCAAAACTCGGGCGTATTTATTGGGCACACCCAGAGTCGTTAAACGATGTCAAAAAAAAGTAACATGCTATTTAAAGAAAAGTAGCACGCTATTAGCTATTTTTTTTTCACATGCAAGAATTTATATAAATAAATCTAAGTGATATTTAATTTATGCAATATATTATATATAGTAAGCTAAATGTCGATAATATTGTTAAATAAATTATATATGAATAATATGTATATGAGATTGCATAGCTATTTCTATAAATAAAAAAAAATAACATATTTTATCTATTAATTTAAAATTTCGAATTCAAACATTATATATATTTTTATTGCATTTTAGAAAGGATATCATTCCCAGTTCTAGAGCGGCGATCAAAAAAATATAAGATTCGCCCCACTAAACATAAACAATCGTTCAACACTAGTATGTGGGGTAGTGCGGCATTTAATTTTATAATATGTATATGTAAGAATAAATAAATATGTTTATTTGAGTGTTTTTAGATTTGATTTTCTATTGCATTATTTTTATTATTGTTTATTTTCAAAAAAAAAATTATAGTAGATACCGTTCTTAAAGTAATTCAGTGGTTTTACATTGTTGTGTAGTAGGCCAATTATTTTAGCTCATATTATGAGTAGTACAACAATCTGCTGTCACGCAAGTGTGAGATACATCTGATAGATCTAATATTAATAAGGGTTTCTCACTATCAACCAATTTTTGAGAAAATTAATTCTGGAGAATTAATTTCTAAGAATTATTATTGGTGAATTTCTACCAACTGGCAGAATGGCTTGGACATCTATTAACGAAATCTCAAGGCTAGTGTAGTATTATTTTGGCTAAAAATCTAAATTTGGAATAGGCTAAACCCAGCCTTACTACATGTAAATATATAATTTTACAAAAATCATTTTAAAAAATTTGAATTGTTTTAAAACTTACAAAAGTTTTAAAATTTTCTAACATTATATTTTGGACATGTTTTTATTGTCATATCAAAAAAAAAGAAGCATATATTTCGTTTTCCTGTAAAGTTTCAAAAGTTTGCGAATCATAATTTTTCAATATTTTGGACTTTTAACCTAAAATAAATATAATTATCTGACCTTGTTTTTTTAATTATTATTATAATATAAAAAATTTGAAGGTAGCGCGCTATTTAGCTACTCTCTAATTAATCGCACTATCGTTATTTTTCAAAAAATAAATGTAGCACGCTAAAAACTCCGAGTTAAACCCTTTTAGCATACATGTAAATATAGCTTTCTCTCCCATTTCAAAAATTTAGCAACCCTGTCCCTGATAGTCCAAAACTATTTAGTACCCCCCAAAAATTCAGGCATGAACTAGAAAGACCTTCAACCAATAAGAGCCCGAGCAGTCGCCTATGTCCATTTACTCGCCTCATGAAGTGTTCAAATGTTAAAGGTTGTTGCTAGTCTTTGACTAGGCCTCGAAACGGTAACTAACCTAACACCATGGCGAGTATGGAAAATCAAGAGCCAGGTCTGAAAAGGCCAGATTTTTCATTTCTGACAAGCCATTTGCCTTCATTATGGCAGGAAAGTAACAGATATTTTTGAGTGTCACGGCTTTACATGTTTCAACATTTTAAGCCACCGCCTGCGTCATGTTATGACATGAGAATTATATCCTAACATCTAAACCCATTATTTCCGCAAGGTAAGATAATTGCCTCGGCCCCGTCCCTACTCCCATCTAATATATCATTTCTCGGTCGCAAAAGATCCTATAGCGATATACCCAGTGATTAGGAGAGTGGTAAAATATCAACACTAAATTTTTCCCGGTATTTAAACCTCAATATGGTTTTATAGAAAGGTCAACAAAATTAATAAACTCTGGTAAATATCCAGATTGGGCCCTGTAAATGCTTAGCATTCCTTTCTCATTTAGGAAAAATTTCACCCTAAATTATATCATTCATAAACCAGGGTTAGAAATTCTCTACAAAATAAGTATATTTTCAAAGATTTAACAAAGCTTTTCGATTGAAATTATATCTAAAAATTACAAACAGAATAATGGTAAAATATTTTATAGTATAACTTAGAGATCTGCAAAGTTAGGCCCGGCACGTACCCGAACGGGCTTCGGACCTGGCTTGGGCTAATTCTATTTAAAATAATCGGGTTTGGGCCGGGCTTAATGACCGGGTCGGGTCGCGTGGAAATTTTTCTAAATATACCTAAATTTAACAATTTAATATAATTTTTGTAAAATAAAAAATTTTGATTTTATTTATTGAAACTTAAAACGCCATATAACATATGTCTTTTATTTTGAGTAATTATAAAAATTAATTTCTATATTTAAATAAATTCAGGCCGAGCAGGTAAATTTTTTTAAAAAAAAATTTCGGGTTCGGGCCAGGTCGGCAAAACTTTTTAAAAAAAAATCCCGGGACGGGCTTGAAAAATTAGGCCCGATGCAGATCACTAGTATAACTAACAAGTAAATCTTTTGTTTTTATGCATAAAAAAAATCTTTTCATGAATAAATCACAAATTTTTTTAAATTAAAGGAAAAAAATTCCAATTTTGCTATCTTCAAATTATTTTTAAGCTCAAAATTTTGGGCAAGAAAAATCTGTTAAGAATTTTTATCCTCGAGGGGGAAGATTTTCTATATTTTATTTATAAATAATAATGTTTTATTGAAATTTACCAACAAGACATAATTAGGCGTAAGAAATTTGTATAAATTAAATTTAAATAAAGATATTATAAACAAATAATAATTTATTTTTGTCCTTTTGTTAAAAAAAAAATTATCAAGGAAATTTTATCCGGGGCATAAGTGTCCGGGACATTGTTGTCCCTCGATTTTACTCTTAAATGTGTCATGTGCTTGTCATATATTTAGGACCTGCGAGTCGACACTCTTAACGTCGGGATGCCGCCGTAAAAATCGGTGGCGGCCCCGAAATTATTATTTTTTATTTAAAACGAATATTATTATTTTATTGAGAATTATGCAAATTTCGAAATTTGTATTTTTATATAAAATATTCAAATTATATGTAACATCAATTTAACTTTTTTATCAGGTTACATTATAAATTATCCATAAAAGAAAAAACTATTTCATTAAAATTTGAAATGCATAACCATGCGCGCGAAGTATACGAATTCATGCTGACTCTGTCTTGTTCCCCAAAT